AGTGAACCAGAGCGAGAGGCTCCGATGAGACCTCAGTCTCAGGTCCCCACGAATCTGAAAGGAGGCTCCTATGAGATCCAACCTCAGGTTTCCAGTGAACCAGAGCGAGAGGCTCCGATGAGACCTCAGCCTCAGGTCCCCATGAATCTGAAAGGAGGCTCCTATGAGACCTCAACCTCAGGTCCCCGCGAATCTGAGCAAAAGGTTCCTATGAGACCTCAGCCTCAGGTCTCCACAAAGCTGAATATGAGGCTCCTATGAGACCTCAGCCTCAGGTCCCCGCGAATCTGAACATGAGGCTCCTATGAGACCTCAGCCTCAGGTCCCCGCGAATCTGAACAAGAGACTTTTGGTAGATCCCAGCCGAATCGGAGCCTGGTACGATATCGGACATGACCTGATGCGATACCAAACAGGTACCAGATACAATACCTAGCCAGAACCAGGCCCAACTATCTAAAGATCCCGAGACCTCTTATCCGAATGTCACGAGACCTGTTATCGAAAGATCTCGAGACCTCTTATCGAAAGGTCCCGAGACCTCATATCCGAAGGTCACAAGACCTCTTATCGAAAGGTCCCGAGACCTGTTACCAAAAGGTCCTGAGACCTCTTATCCAAAGGGCTTGAGATCTGTTATCTCTTATCCAAAGGTCTTCTGTAATTGAAGACATGACCTTCGGATACGATACCTGACCAGAACCTGGTATGTTACGTGACAAATATCTGATACGATACCTTCCCAGAGCCATGGCTCACCAAACAACGGAGGCTCCAACGCACTGATCCCGGAGCTTCAACGCACCGATCACCGCTCAGAGTAACAGCTTTCGGCCTTCGGTTGATGCTCAACCCGATCAGACTACCACTAGAATAACTAACCCAAGGTCCTCCAGTGGAAACCGCTCCGGGGTAACAGCCCCCGAGAACCCTCAGCGTCAACCCGCTCCGAATCAATTGGAGGCTCAGCTATCTGAGATCCGTCAAATGATGGTGCAGTTAGTAGACAGAGCTCAAG